ATCAAGATCCATGATCTAGTAGTGCTTAACAAATGGCGTGGAAACCAAGATAGCAACTAAAACGATTTTATATAAGATAATTATTGCAATTATTCCATCTTTTTTTTTTATTTAATGTCAATTGCAATTGGGTTTGGATGCACCACCAGCTTTAATCTTTGATTTATTCTAGCAAATGGTTTTAGTTTAATATGATCATGACACTCATACTTATAATTAGCTAGGGAAAAAGAAAAGCATATCGTATGAATTGGTTATGGTCATAATTATCGGCATATGCTCATCGATCTAATTTCTTCTAGAGTGTGTCTACAACTATTTTTTGACGACGAAATAATAAATATTACGAAAAGAAATTTATGCGTGCAGCATTTAATGTTTCTTATTCTTATCAATTCTCATTTCAACGCAATGAAGAATTTCGAGGGGAGGGAGGGGGTGCGTGGTTTGATTGGTCAAGTCAATGTTCAATTTGGTTGACATTTCCATTAATTTGAATTTCTTTTCATCATATGGTTCATAGTTTTCTAGTCATAGAACATGTCATAGACATATTCTTTAACTTTCACGAAGCACAATAATCAAACTTTGTACTACACAAAAGGAAATTAAAAAAAATTAAAAAAGGACAAATCTCCTTTTTTTTCTCTATTGATCTCTCGAAAACGACACTGCACATTTGATCGAATTAATAATGTTCAAAGCTTGCCGTTCTTACGGTATAAATGGCCACAAAAGGTCGTTATCGCCATCATACGCCACTCGATGTAATCGTTGCTTAATTATCCGTCGTTGCTCCACAAGTCAAACACGTCGTGATCGAAAATTGGGTGAAGCTCGAAGTTTTGCCGCTCTTACCATGTAAAATGGCCCGCAAAACGTCAACACGCATGTGATCAAATATCTAATTACGTTAGAAGTTTCACGTTCTTACCACATAAAAGGTCGCGACGGGGTTGTTGTCGTCGCCATACGCCCCCTTCCGATGCAATCGTTGCTTGAATATTCTGGCCTTGCCGTATATGTCAAACACGTAATGATCGAGATTTGGTAAAGTTCAAAGCCCCGCCATTCTTCCCCGCGAAAACGTCGTTATCGCCATCATCGTCATCGGATTAGCTAAAACCAAAACGTGATGGGTAAGTGAAAAGGCGTCGTCTTGTATCCAATCCATTCACACAAACATGGAAAGCGACTTAAAACGGAAACATGTCGATGTCCGACCCGACCCTACACGAGAAAGATTAATTAAGAATCGAAATTGACTTTTATTGCACTTAGACTTGCACGATGACACAAACCCTAATCAATTCATTAATCAAAGCATTATTCCAACAACTTGCTAATCTACATCTCCCATGTCCCCTTTTCGATCCCCTCTCGGGGGGACCCATCTAATTCTAATGGCAATGCCACCTTTGAATAAGAACAAATTAAGATGAATTTGAACGTACCACCCTTGGAATGGTGGCAATGTGATGGCAACTAAACTTTGGGATATTCGTACTTAGATAATAGTACTAGGAGAAAAAAAAATTGGTTATTATAGTTCGATGCAAGCAAAGAGAGAGACAGCACGTACAACTTCTTTTCGAGATAAAAAAATGTTCAAATCGTGTGATTCTTTTTGGGTATAGCGCTAAAAACACTTAGCCGTCGAATTAAATTTCTGCTAGAGTTTAAAATATGTAAAATTCGAGTAGCTTGCAAACCTATCCATGCAATTTATAAAGCAATTGTATCGTTTGCATATCGCATCTTCATTGTTATATACGTATTCTATTGGTATGAGAAACGTTTCCAGTAATGTTTTTTTACAACTAGCACATTGTATATGTGATTCAAAGTTATAGAACGACAGTTTTTTATTTCTTTTAATATTGATTTTTCTCTGTTTCTCTGCATTTATTCCCAAAAAGATCATGGGCACATGCATGTCAAACAAGAATACATAATGGCTATATTGACCCACCATGTCCTACACACACTCTGCGAATTGGTCAAAACACGATCCATCGACACAATGGTGTAATTATTTATGGACCCCTCCCCCAAAAAAAAAATCATTATTATTATAAAGAAATTGTCGATTTTAAAGGTGATAATTATATATATTCCATAATTACAGCTAAGGTAGCAGATGTACTTTTATTGTAATTATTGTTGAGATTTGGTTCTACAACAACCCAACAAAACTCCGGCAGTGCATAGAGCCTGACCCGACTGCTCCAAGCATTAATTTGCACCTTTTTTCTGATAGCAATCAAATAAATAATTAAACAAATTGTACTAATTAATGCAAAAGTTTTGGGGGTTCTTGTCAGCGACATGTGCACTATATAGTAACAGGAACATGGTGTAAATTAGGTGTAACAAGAGCATGTAATAATAGCCCACTATAGTGGGACGGTGCTTTAATTATTTGATTTGGTTCATTAAAATGTCCTATGCAAACGAAACACTTATCATGTGAAGTCCACATTAACCCGAAAAGTGCACGGTTCCTACTTATGATTTTAAGCTTGATATGATTAAGGTTGTTCAACCACAGTGGATAATCACTAATCGGTCCAAGAAATCAGGACACGAAGTTATGTTTTTTCCTAATTGAGGAAATTATTTTAGATTTTAGTACTTTATTAATATTGGGGAGAGATTAGGTTACGCGGGAGAATTACTAAAAACATAGAGAGAGAGTTTGTACTTTGATGATTTTTTAATCTAATTATTTCCATTACAGTAATTATGTGTGCTCAAAAGAGTATATATCTTTGACACGTTTTAAAACTCGACAAAGTCACAGCTGCATTTTTAGCGTTCTCAAAAGCTACCATAAGAACTCTACGAGAATATCGCCGGGATTTACATTTGACAAAATGGATCGATCTGATAAAAAGCGCATGCAGATTCATCTCGGCAGCTGCAACTAACACAACGGAAACCTCGAGGAAATGGAAGGTATTGTGAAATTTCAAAAGATGAAGCAACCATTAGGCAAATGAGAAATGCAAATCACCTAGAATGATTTTTCTTTTTCGAGCTCGTAATTTTCAAAAATATATAGTTTCGTTTTTTAGAGTCTTTTAAGGACGAGAGTTGGTGCCGGAGGAAAAGGGTAGGGTTCTTTAATTTTGAAAAGCACATAATTTAGGAAATTAATTTGCTCGTGACACTCTTAATCACGTCGACCCCATGCAAGTTTATCGTCGTCATTCGTTAAGAGATTTAATGAGATACACACCCATCAAGATCCCATGCATGCATGTTGCAATATATATAGATATATATCGTTTGCTAACTCTTGTTGATCTTATTAGTGCCCCAGCTACCGATATTACTAGTTTTTACCTCTCTATCAAATGCCAAGTTTAACTTGTGTAACCTTTTCTGGTTGGGGTTTACGCAGAGTAAAATAAAAATTAGGTTGCTAAAGATGTTACTTGGGGAAAATCACATACATATATTTATTTGTCATGAATTCTTTCATGGGGTCAAACGACGGATCGTGGCGACGCGTGTCAAGGTGCGAGATCGGGATGAGGCGAAAGGTGACGGGCATGTGCGCGTTGAAGCTAGGAACAATTTGACAAGTGCCCCCGCTTGGCCATATCCTCAGTGCCGACAATAATGTCTAAAGTTATATTCTACCACCAAAAATGTGCCACGCTTTCAAAATGCCCCAAAGTTTACGTGATTTGATATATATAATAATCGAGAAAGTGTTTATTTTTTTCCTATATTGCGTGGCTAATATATAAAAAAAATAAAATCGAACATATATATAGCATCTTTCATTCTATGGTTAAAGGCATGTTTGGTTAAGCTTTTTTTTTTTTTAAACATAAAACATAATCTTTGTTACTTTTTCGCCGAAAGACACTATTCAAAATTATGAAAATTACAAAAAAAAAATGTACGTATCAATAGTTGTATCGTGCGAGAATTTCGGGTGTCTAGAACTCTAGATTAAGAAAAAGTCAAAATACACTTATCACAAATGATTTGGAAGGTCGTAGTTTTTCTTTTCACAACATTAAAGGGTGAGAAATTTCGGCAAAAAAAAGAAAGAAATGGGACAAATTGGTGGAGAGAAATTGTATATTCTATATATCTCAGTCATCTTCACTTCAAGTGAGGAAGTACAACCAGAATAATGCCTTTGCCCTTTTCCCCTTTTCCCCTTTTTTTTACATGCTTTATCTTTTGCATAGCCACCCAAAAAGCAAAAACATTGACTTGGAATCAAAAAATTGATAAAAAGAAAGTGATGAAAAGAGCTCTTTGCATTCTTGGTATCTTGGAATATCCTGGCCAAGGAACATTTCCATATATCAACCAAAATTTACCATCTCGTCGAGAAAATTATTAATCCATCAAGAAGAGAATGTTACCACCGATCCCAAAATTGCCACTCACGGACATTTTATCCGTCGATCCAAGTGACTGATCTTTACAATTTCTCAATGATGATGACGTAGCTAGCCGCCTAAATAGTAGTACATTCTAAAGCCGTGTTTCACTAAAACATGTTTAATCGCCATTAATTCCTCGAGGTCCCTACTAATTAATGCCCTAGTGCTCGAATGAATGATTCCCATCAACGAAATCATGTTAGCATGCAACACTGGAAGACTTAGAATTCACCATTATTAGATGCCCCATTGATATATATTTATTTTACTAAAAAAAAAAGCAGGGGGTCAAAATTTCATCATTGAACACTAGCCATGAGTCAAAAGGGTGTATAATTATCACGTTTCTATAGAACAAAAGATTAGTCATGATAAATCGACCTCGAGGAAAAAGAAGAATGTGGGTGCAAATATTACTAGAAGAGCAATAAAGTTAAAAAAAAAAAAGTAAATATATTTTTCTAATTTTTTTTTTGGAAGCCTAAGCAACGAAAATAAAAAAGATTAAAAAGTCGACAAATTTGTGCATCCTCAATTAATGATTTCCAAAAAAACAAAGAAGAAAAACGAACAACTATGATTAATAAATTAAAAAAAAGGAGAGATTTACCATGTATTTACACAAAAATGGAAAACCATCCCTCTCGATGTTTTTCCCCAATTTCTCCAACACTAAAAGATATCAAAGAATATCATCCGAAAAATTACAAAATACAAAAAAAAGAAGAAAAAGAAGAAGAGACTATTTCTTTCCTCCCCCCTTATTCTTTCCCTTTTTCCACTTCCTGCCCCTAACTTTTATCCTTTTTTACCTTTCCTGCCCCGGGGCGGCTCCCGACCGTTACGACGACGACGACAGGTTCACGTGCACGCTCGCCGTGACCGCCGAGCCGCACGCCGGGCAGTCGTGGTGGCTGGGCCCGCACGCCGCGCAGAGGCAGAGGTGCCGGCACGGCAGCAGCAGCACCGACGACTCCCTCTCCCCGCACGCCCGGCACCCCCCGCGGCCGTGGCGCCCCCTCCGCGATTCCGCCGCGGCCCCGGCGCTCGCTCCCGCCCTCCCGGGATCGTTGCTCCCGCAGCAGGACTCCGCGTCGTCGTCCTCCCCGCCGCCGCCGCCGACGCCGCCGACGCCGACGCTGCGGGCGAGGGCGTGCTCGAGGTTGGAGCGGAGGGAGTTGGCGGCGGCCTCGTTGGTCTGGGCGAGGCCCCGCCAGATCTGGTTCTCCATCACCAGGTTCTTCACTTTTTCTTGGAGCAGCCAATTCAGTTTCCCCATCCTCTGGATTTCTTCGTCTTTCTCCTTGAGCTTCCGAACGACCGAGTCGTGGATGGACGAGAGCAGCGCTTTCGATTGCTGCTTCACTCTGTCTTCCAGTTCCCACCTCAACCTCTGCGTCTGTGAACACGTCAAGAACAAGAGAGTCGTCAGAAAATTTGGAACTTCCCTTTCTTTTTTCAAAAATCAATCAACTTCTTGACGCAATTCGTGGAAATTTAACATTTTTCTCGCCAGAAACAGAATCGACATTGTCAATTCTTCTCTGGGTTTTGTTTCTTGAAATCCCAGACCAAAAGTAATAACCGTCACGAAATTCATCGAAGGCTTGTCGAAACATAACCGACGACGACAGCAACAATAAATTTGAAGTAAAAAAGGATCATTACGTGTTGGGAAATCAAACGGTCGATCTCCAATTGGTGCCGTTGGATCTCGCACGCGGCCTCTGGCCCCAGAAACAGCGACGCCTTGCTCATCTTCTGAGGATTATGATTCGCCGGGAGGAGATCGCCGTTCAAGTGATCGTCGCCGAGCGCGTCTCTGGACCGCTTGTGTTGGTTCCTGGGGACAGGCACGGCGGCGGCCGCGACGTTGTAGTTGGTGCTCAAACCGCTGTCGGTCTTCACGGACGGTTTCACGGCGAAGATCTCGGGCACGACGCGGGGTTGCTGGTAGCAGCGCGACAGCGGTAAGATCAGGTCGGGCGTTGCCGCCGCCGCCGCCGCCGCCGTAGGCATGAACTCCTCCGCTTGGCCAGCGAAGAAATCGGCCGCGCCAGCGCTACCCCTGCGAAACCCAACAACGGAACCGACCCAATCCAAGCTCATCAGCCCGACAAAAAAGAAACGGAACAGAACCAAAACAGAGAGAAACAGGGGCGAGAGAGGGGGAGGGAGAAACAACCCAAACAACCGACGGTATTCAAATTCACCAGACACCCACGAAGGGCCGCGGACCCCGTACCTGTTCGCGATCAACTGGGCGTGAAAAGGATTGCCCCGCCGCGCCTCCACCGCCATGAGGGCCGCTTCCTCTGTTTCTTCCCGGCTTTCGCTTAGAGAAAGAGAGAGTTTTTCCTCAGAGGAACGGGAAGAGCATGAAGCAGAGAGAGAGATTTCGAGCGAGAGGGAGAGAAAGGGGTGGCGGCGGCAGAAGATCAGCTTCGCTCCTGGCGTGGTGGTGCGGTGCCTGTGATGGTGGTGGGGGATGAGGTTTGGCTCGGCTTTTATGTGGGGAGAGCGTGACGGGGGCGGGGTTAGAGAGAGAAAGTCAATGGTGGGGGGGGGGGGGGGGGGGGGGGGTTTCGGTCTAGAGAGAGAGGAAATCTCGTACATCATTGCTGCTGCAGATTTCTTTACAACCGCAGAGATAGAGAGAGGGAGAGATTAGTGAATTATGGGAAGGTTTTGCAGATTTTGTCCCCCGGCACGGACAGACAATAAAGAAATTGCCCTTCCCTTGTTTCGATCTGCCTGTCTTTTTACCTTAAAAAAACAACAAAGGGAGCGGGCCTTTTTACTGCCGCTGCTTCTCCTCCTCTTCTTTCCTTTTTCTCTATAATATCTCTTTTTGGGTTTTCCCTTGGTGAAATTCTTTTCATTGAATTGCCAAAAGAGAAGGGGTGGGGTGGGGCGGCCTCCATTAGGCATTTTGATTTGTTGCTTTCTTATCAAGTCAAGATAAGTGCCCAAATCTCGTTTTGCTGGTTTCTCTTTTTTTTTTTCTTCCTCTTTCCTGCTTTTTACCCTTGTCTCGTGCCGGATTTTTACCCCGGTCGTGTCGTGCGTACCCGTCCGGAGAAAAAGGGATTTTAATGCGGTTTTCCCGGAGCCCGATTCTGGTCCGGGGGGCCGGGCGGCGGATGGGATGTCATGCACGGTACGTTCTCGGCCCGGATGGGGCGAATAGATGGAATTCTGCATGCAGGACCCCCCTCCCCCCCGAATAGATGGTCGGGGGCCGTACATTCTCCGAGTAGTATTCATTCGGGCATACCCGGTTTTCCAAAAAGGACGTACCTTCAGAGACGACGGATGGGGCCGCGCGCGCGTATCTGCCAGAGAAAGAACGGAAAGTGAAGCATGTCATGTAACGGCCGAGAGCGACGGAGCCCCTTACGTACCGTTCAATTTCCCCACAGCGGAACCGGTTAAACTCTGATCGTCCGGTTTTTAAGGGGAGATGTAATTTTCGTGTATACATGAACTCTGTAATTACAAAAAATAAAATAAAAACCAGGTGAAGTTCCCCGAATCTATCCTTATGCCGGCGGGATCCGAAAGGAAGAAGGGAGAAATCTACACGGTCTTGCGACAGATTAAGGATACGCTCAGGAGGCTTGTTAACTCGGCTTCAGAATCAGGGTTTTCGAATCCCAGTTTCTGCTCGGTGCCAAACTTCAAAAATAAAAATTGCGAAAATTACAAATGCCAAAATAACAAATGGCAGTAATTTTTTTCCGGGTAGTATTTTTTTAAAAAAGCAATAAGCGAAAATTCGAGGGGCGAAAAAAAAAAAAGGGAGGGAGGGGGGGGGAAATCAAGCAATTGCTCAAAAATTGGGAGGAAGTGATGCGCTGGCGGCAATCTTTTCACATTTTTCACCATGGCCGGGGGGCGCTGTCGCGGCCCGAGATTTACGCGGCGGTGATTCTCGCGACCACGTCACGGGGCGCGCGCCGCGCGCGCCACGTGTCGGGCCAGCCGGTCCCGCGCGGATGGGTCCCACGTAAGCGCGCCGCTACGGTCCAATACCAACCCCCCCGCGGAGCGTGGGGCCCGCCCCCCCTAATCTGGGAACGTGACCAGCCCCTCCCTCGCACGTGCGAAGGGTCGTCGAATCTCCGGGGCTGGACGGAAAAAGCTGTATGTACATATTTTTTTTCTTATTTCCTATTGCAAGGAAAAAAAAAAAAAAGTACCGTCGAAAATTCCGAAACCGATATATCTGCTATAAATTTACCCTCCGTCAGATTTTTATCGTCAGATTGCCGAGTTGGACGAAACGCGGCGGCTGACGGTGTGTACCAATTCGGGGTTTTGACCCCCACTTTCGTTTTTCGCGGGTTTACCAACCTGTGGCTATTCGTGGTATTAATTTAATTTAACGAACGGTAAATTGATCACGGGTGTACCAATTTGGAGTTTTCAGGTGGTCAAGAAATTAGTTCGGGATAAATTTATCAAATGCATATCCGTTTGGCGTTTTTCGCGGTATTAACCATAAAAAAAAAAAACTCCTAGCATTATTAGGATGATACGGTCGTTTCATTTTCGCCTTCTTTTTTTTTTTTTGGTTTTGTTTTGTTTATTCGGGGGGTGGTATATTATCCGACGGGGAGCGGTGGGGCCCGCGGCGTCTGAAAGAAGGATTGTCCCCCCCCTTACTTTTAATGGGGGGGGTTGTCAGTGTCCGTACGACACATGGGATTGGTGTCGTGTCGTCTGCATTTGCACTTATCTGGCTAGTGGTTGTCAGTGCCCAGTTCCCTTATTTTCCCTTATTTTTCCTTTATTTATTTATTTATTTATTTCATTAATTTATTAATTTGTTTTTTTTTTTTTTTGGTAAAGAATAAGGTAAATTTATTAATTTGTTTGTGTTTTTGCTTATTTATTGATTTTGCCATTCTCCATGTACCGGAGCAAAGCGTACCCCCCCGCCGCGCTTCCTACTCGTGTAATTTGTTAACGAATACGATGCTCTCGCGACATTAGATTGATTTAGCCGAGAATAGGAGTAACGGCATCTTTAAAGACGTTTTCGGGGGAAAATACAAGAGTATTCCGCATTCCCGATAAGTCGAGGTCGCTTCGAACGGTGGGATTTTTGGAATCGGCGAAACCGCGTCCGACGGGGATTCGACGTGCGCCCGGGGGACGGTTTTTTTAACCGTAACCCTCTCTTAATTGTGGGCCCCGGAAGGGGGTGGCATGGACGAAGGAAGGGAGGAACTTATGGGGCAAGCGAAACCGTGCTCTTTGTCCCGGATGGATAAATCATCTTTCGTTCCGATGTTTGGTGAGCATCACCGGCGGCGGCCCCGTGACGCGAAAACGAAGTCGTTATTGGGCGTGACTAATTTTGGAATTACGAATGGACCCAAAAGCGCATCGGAAGTACATCCAAGGCTTTCGCTTTTTTTTTTCTCCCCTTGAAAATGGAATGGATTTTGGTGTTTGGCTTTAGTGCTAGATTTGCTAGGGAATGTAAATCTAGCTATAATTGTGCATGTGAATCTCAATCTCTTTGACCCCCCGGATTCGATGGAACGCTCATCATTTCCACGTTTTTGTTGTTGTTCCCTTGATCAGAGCAAATCAACACCGGCTTCCGAACACAAAGCCGCGTGACCGATCAGTCGAATTGCTCGTGCGGCACGCATTTCGATCGAGGGAAAATTACCCGATCGGTCCGGAACCCTGATGCGCGGGTGCCCGATCCGGTCCCGAGCTTTCCGAATCTGTCGATTCGGTGCCGAACTTTCGCATGGCATTGCACTGGGAGTGGCCGACGCGGCGGTCTGATCATTGCCTGCCATCCGCGGGTCAGGTTTAGGACCGGTTCGACGGTTTTCCCGATTCCCTTTCGATCGACTTTGGGTTGAATTTCGAAATCTCTTGGTTCTCATTACCAGCTTGCCCTTTTTTTTTTCCTTCAGTTCCTTCCCGTTTATCCGTTTGAATATAAATCTGGGCGGTTCGCGACATCTTCGGTTACTCCATCGCTATTCATTTTTCGATCGCCTCCGCGGTTCGTTTCGATTGTGTAGCGTGGCATTTTGCCTAAATTCCTTGATACCATGTTAATTACCGTATTGATTAATTACTAATTAGCTGGATACCTTCAGAAACCGATCTGAACAATGAAAGCAAATCAAGTTCCTTCTAAAATCGGTCAAGGGTTTTCATAATCCTAACTTAAACATAAATTCATTCATTTAGAAAAGTAATTACTCCATCTAACGTGATTATCAATTACATCAGACAGTAATTTGACTAGTTAAACAAATCAAATTTCGTGCAATAATGCGTCTAAATTTTCTCGCCGTCTAATAATGACTATCGAGCTTTGTCATAGGGATGCATTTTTCCCCCTTAATTTGCTCATTTAGCACGGTTTGAATTACGACGATCGCATGTGTTTTTGAACCGCGCTCTCGAGAGCACAGATCCGTGAGGGACTAGAAGGCTGCCACATCCGATAAAGATTAGTCGGGTCGTTCATGGTCCTACCGTCTTTTATTTTTTCAAATTTTAAGAACCACAAAATAAGTAAAAATAAGACAAAACTCATTAATAATTTGTTCTTACCTCTTGGCCCTTTATGTCTCCGATGAAGAAGAGCAAAGAAGAGCGGGACAAACTAAAATAGCACTTTTGAATGGATACAAAAGCTTAATACATCCAAAAACATATATTTATATATATTATTTTTTATTTTTTAAAAAAATTTTCTTGTCAGAATTTTTTTTTGGTCGAAAAATTTTTTTGGTCTAGGATTTTTTTTTTTAAGAGTTTGATGGGTCACATTCTTTTCATTTTCACATAAATCGCCATCCACCTCGTGATTGCCTAAAAATTAGGCACGACCCTCCGTTCGGTCCCTATCGATAGATAGCTGCAATTATTAGTATTTGAATTTCGAGTAGAGCCAAAAAAAAAAATTGAATGCAGCAAGAAGGAAAAAAAGGGAAAAGAAAGAAATTGGAGCTTTCGCCGAAAGAAATTCGAAAAAGCATCGATTGCCCTCGTTTCCTTTTCATGTCGATAGGCCAAAAAAAAAAAAAAAATTTCGGAAAATCTCAAGGGGAATTCATTGGCCATGTCCTAACTTTCCAATTTGAGGTCCACGGAATTTTGCCCACAATTTCTCGATTCCGATAAATTAGGTTTGAAAAATTGGAAAATAAAATGGACCCGACGTTCCAACAATAAATAGACCCAAAGAATTCGCCGGTGCAAGAAGGAAGTCAAGTTGTTCACATTCATGTGGCAATTATGTCTGGTCCCCTCCCTCCCTGATCGGTTCGAATCGATCGCGCCCCAAGGAAAAATACAAAAAATATCGGTAAATTTATCTATCAATGAAAGTATGCGAACGTCGCGTGATCGATTAGGATTTGACCGATTGAGATAGAGTCGTG